AGCTGTGATACCATGACGTTAGTCTCTAAATTATTTGCGTTTTCGCTGGGTCAGCACGTGAGTCACATTGATATTGGCGCATGGTGTGAGCCCCATCACCTTTAGAGATCGACGTGGCGCAGCGTCAATAATGTTCATGCAAAAAGCCTGTCGCTGACGCCACGGTTCTCCGTTTTCACTTATTAATAGGTAATCAATGGGGTGTGAAATAACTCTTGTCCGCTCTTGTATCAATGAAACCGTGAAATCGCCGTGGACGCCGCTGTTCTTTCTCCAGTGACTCCACAAATACCAAGTTATTTTTATTTGTGTGCATTTAATATGGGAAACTGTTCTAGCCACAGATCACTTGCTTTCAATGATTTAAAACTATTTTGACGCGATGAGTTGCTAGCTTCTTGCATTCCCCGTCGTTTGATCAATATTTGATATCAAGGTGATGCCGCAAAGTGGTAAACACAAAAAAGAATGATCGACACAGAGTGACTAAAACAATTTGACAAATTTGCTTTTACAAAAAAAAACCTTAAAGTTGTTCCGCCGGAAAAGCTTATAATCCTTTCCGCTGAGAAATTAAACAAATTCTTCCGTTGAAATACTAATCATGTTAAAGAGCAACTAAGGGTAATCTGTTCAAAAATGGTTAGATGTAAGTTTCAATTATCAACTAGCGCTAGCAGTCTTTACCTGACAAGGTCACGGTCGCTTCAGTAAGGCCCTGTTCGCACTACGCCGAAAAATTTGATTTGGTATGTGCAAAAAATTGAAAATTTTGTAACGACGAATTTTTTGTTTTCGCACTAGCGTTTGCACTTCAGACGTGCGAATTATTTGTGTAATCACAAATTTCAATAATCAAAATAGACACCAGCTTTTGTTTCTTGACGGAACGTTTTCTTTTAGGTCGTTCCTGGTCAAGGACTGATCGCAAAGCAAAATGCCCCCGCGAAATGTTTTATAAATTGCTCTTCTTTGCTATTTGCCTGCCACGCAAAACCTGATTGCGGCTGGTCAAAAATTACTTCTCATTTTGTTGGGAAGGATTCGTCTTTTACAGATCATGGAGACTTTAACCCACCTGCTCAACAGAAGCCGAGGCCGCCGTCGACCTGTAGAATCCTGGTTTGAAATCGTAACTTCCCCGTTGAAGCGTTCTTCCGTAGACATTTGAAAATGAGGAGAGAGTCGAGTCATTCGGCAACTTACTAAAGCTACGTTCACTTACGAAATATGATGACCAGTAGAAGGGTATCTGGCGAGGAACAATCGAGTTTTTCGCCCGACAAAAAATTGTAGGCCTCCAAATCTAGTTGATAGCATCTTTAAAGTTTGGTGGCACTTGCGAAAATTTTGGTGGGTCAAAAAAATCACTCGCACTGAAAACGGTTTCGCGTGGACAGACTTTTTTGCAAAACAAACAAAATTTCGCGTAAAGCGAACAGCCCCTAATTATAACTTAAACAAAATATCACTGGCGAAATCCTTTTACACAGCAATTTAAAACACAAACCAACACTGGAACAATCAAGACACCGGTATTAGCTAGCTCTAAAGTGCCGACCTAATCGGTGGGGGCAGATTAGTAAATCCGTCAGCTGAAATGTGACATCATGAGCCCACAAATGCACGCGTTTGACTTTATTCTTCAGGATTAAAAATAGGAATTAGACCTACTTGGCGTCAACAGGAAATGGGTACTAACAGTCTCTTTCCATAACTGGAAATAGCTTTCACAATTCAAATGTAAAAATGGAATTTTTATTTAGTACAGAATACTTAATAATTTGATACAAAAGAACTGCTTGAGAGTTGTTTTTTAAAAATCTTCAGGAATTTAGAACTCGCATTCAAAAGAGAAATTGATGACTTCCTGATATACTTGGACATTGCACAGCTTCTGCAGTTTCCAGACTAACTGACGGCAATTGGACAAAGGAGTTTGCTTCGTAATTTCCTGTTTGGTTTGTTTCGTTGAATTCTCAATTCATTCTCGAAAAATTCTTCGAAATTATTCACCCAGCTTTGGACGCTTTGAGTTGAACACGTTAAATATCGGATTCCGCGACTAACGAAGAGTGCCTTATCAAATTTGAACAATTTCATAGTTTGAAATATCAGATAATGATTTTGTTGATGTGTGAAAAATTGAGACTTCGCGTAACAGACCCTTTTCTTATCATGATCTCTAAGAGTTGATAAACTCGTGACTTCATGCACGCTCTTGAAATTTGAAAAAGGTGGGCGGAAAAATTTCCCTATCCCAGCATTCTCAATTTCTCGACGATGGTGCACAATAGCACACCATGGACAGATATCCATTAATGAATGTCAGTTGACGGAGTGACTGCTTTTAAACAAACTGGTTTGAGCAGCTTTAAAGCATTTGGATTTATTGGCATTTAAAATGTTAAGGAGTTTTATCGTCCTAGCTGGATTCATTTTATTTACTCCTTTGTCGGTTAGTGAATTTACTTGATTATTTATTTTTCCCACATTCCATTTGCAATCGTGTTTATGAATTTTTATGTAAATCCAGGGGAGAATATTTCTCTTTCCTCTTTTCCTTTACGTAGGTTATGCGGTCCCGATCGTTTCAAAACTATCCGTTTCGTGCCGGAACGGTTTCATGAAATTTCATAAGTTGTGTGATTAACTGTGCCAACTACGGTAATAGCGGGTTGTCACTATGAACCACAGTTTGTGATGAATATACAACTTGATCAAATGATAACATTTTGATAATTTAAGCTTGTCGTAAACAAATCGTATGAATGTACTCGATACTTCACCATCCTTATTGTGCATTTCAAAACTCAATAGCCCCCAAAATAACTTTGCAATGAGTGAGGGCGCTTGTTGCTAGTGGAACCGGAAATATACATAAGCAGGAAAAAACAAATGAATTAGAAAAAAGCAAAAATCAGATTAGCCATTTTGGTGATAAATAGTTCCATTTAAATTGTATAGATGACCCTGAAAAGTTCAACAACTCAAAGTGACGTTTTGACTCTTACTTGGCTAAAGCATTTTTTTTTTCCATTTTCTTTACCCCAATTTACTTGTTACAACTAAAGTATATTGCTCCTCGTGGAGTTGTGTGCTTTAATGAGAAGAATGGGAAGAATGATAATAATATCAAAAGCAAAAGTGACCCTAAAGGCTTGCAAGGCCACTAATCTTGAACAAATTCAGAACACTTGCCAGGTGTATATGAACCTGTTGTATGGCTCAGTTCTCTAGTTCTCTTGACTCAGTAGTAGAAAATCAGACCGAAAAAAGCCATACGGAAACAATGATTTTATGGGATGGATTTCTTCAGGCATGGGTCAGTCATTTGTGATTTTTTAACAGCGCCATCTTACGTATAAAAAATTATTTCTTACAGCTTCAAAGGTAACCAAAGCCTATGTTTACCGTCCTATCAACCATTTGATAAAAACGCAGAGACTTTGATTTTTTTTTTTTTTTTTTATAAAGAAAAGTAATCGGGGCGAAGAGAAGTTTACGAACAACAGTGACACACTCGGTGGCGCCTTTTGTACCATTTTTGTGTTCTTACCACCCACGGTTTTGACCTCATTTGTGATCAGTGTAATAGGGACCTTAAGCAGTCAGGACGGCGACAACAGGGAAGACGTCGATCAAAAAAAATTCTACTTTTAACTAGGATTTCGAAAATGGCTGCATATGTTAACCGTCTTTTTACGGCGCCACACCTCAAACTCAGCATAACGTATGAAAGTAGCGTTGAGTTCCTAATGGAAATTAAATGATTTGCCGTCGCGGTTTCGGTTCGCAGACTACCCGAATCTTAGTGATTTCACGTCCTTGTTTTGCAAAGGACGGCTGAGAAATGTACTAAGTTTTAAAACACACGTGCTGAGCTATTATTCTGCCGATTTGATCTGTTGTTTTTCCAAGTCCTCGTTGCCGCCGCCGTCGTGGTTTGCTTAAGGTCCCTATTAATGAAAAGACGCATGGGTAGCGTGGAATCCTGTTTTCACCCTAGTGCCCCGCAATCAAGGGGGTATCCAGGGGGATCCTGGGGTACCCGTGCCCCCCCCCCCTTTGGTAGGTCTTCTTTAGAGCAAAAAACCTACAATACTCAGGCGGCGAAAACGCCATGAAAATATCTTGGCCCTAAAAGCCATTGATATGGGCCTTCATGCCGTGATAATACGACTGAGCCCGCTGATACACGTAGGAGAGCAGTGGTGTAAAGGGTGAGTAGCCCCTGTGACCTCCCCTTTGAAAAATCCTGGCTATGCCCCTGGCAATGATTGAATAATCAAAAGGATATCGTGCATGATTTCTTTTGTGGATACATTCATTCAGAACTAAAGAGAATAAAGTGCTTACTTCTCTTAGTTGAACTCTTTGAATAGCCGTCGTGATCAGGGCTAATCAAAGCACAGCTGCTCAACCGTTCAGCCCTAGATCGTAAATAATAAAAATATTACTGTATAGCTTGACTTCCTCGTTTCCAAATTAAAACAAGTCATGACCACGAAACACTTCAAAGCTTGAACGGTCACTGAAATAACGTTGCATGTAAAGAGAAAAATTTCATTAACGTTGTCGAACTTTTCGCGGGCTGAAATTTTGAAGCTTCGTTTATCAACAGAGAGTTGATAGCGATGGATATTTGAAAAGAATAGCAAATGCTTAGAAGGAAAACTGCGGAAAGTCATTTTTAAGTAATTATTTTTCCTGCAGCAACCAAGACAGAGACCCTATTTTCTTTGGAAACACTTCAAACTCGTAAGATTGAAGTAAGTTGCATTGGTAGCGTGTCAGGGAGGTGTTCGTGTACGAGGATTTTGAGTGTATGAATGCTAAGGACTGAATGACTTAAATAACCCGCGAAGTTACAGTTGTACTTTGCCTAATCTAATCGACCAATCAGTATCTCCAATAATATGAGGGGAATCCCCGGAGAAGTCATGTGTTTTTAAAATACATTAACCAGAACTCTTGAAGTGTGCTTTTTGCTAGCGTGGTGAGGATAGTCATTCGGTGACTGGAAAGTAGATCTTGTTCAGCACTCAAAGTCTATCAAATACTATATGATCATGCTACTACTGGCATATTTCCTAATACTAAAAGCGACGGTGAGTAATTTTTTCCGTAATCAAGTCTGTTATCTCAAGTTTATATTCAATGACACTACCAATACTCAGTTGAAAAAAAAAATACAGAAACAACACAACGGAAAAAGGATTCACTTTAGCACGCGAAGTCGAAGCTTTGTATTCCTTGAGTTACAAGTGAATATTACCCACCGACTATCGAGACAGTATCGCAAAGGTTACTATTCTGGACACACAAGGTTTATTTACGATTAAAGTAGATTTCAGTGTTAAACACGTGGCAGTACGTCTGGACATGGTTCAGTATGGCCTTTTGAAGGCTGTAGAGCTCACAGAGAGTTTCCATGGTCTAGGAAAAAAGTAATCATAAGAGGAAAATGTTCAGTAGCTGCTGGCGGTCATTTTTATCGCGTTGCAAACAAGATTCTCGTTATTTTAAAATCGTATTTTTGAGTACGTGCGGCGAAAAGAGCTTGAAATGCACAATTCAAGTTAATGATTTTGATCTGTTCCGTTTCGATCCGTTCCGATGACCTTGGTGGTCATACACCAGATGATTTTGTTTTCCCGCCACAAAATCGCCTTATATGGCTTTTTCATCGTATACTGTTTGTTAGAATAACATTAGTTGGCCAGAAATAGATGAAAAAGATATGTTTAAACAAAATATTGGCCCTCGTAAAGTTAGTGAAGGATAGCGGCGGTAGTGTGTTTATTGTCGGTTCGATTGACATCTTTAACAACTTGATGTCTGGGTTAAGACATATCATTATGTATCGGAACTTAACCCTCCAAAATTTGCATCGCGTCTTCATTTTCCGTTGGTAGGCGAAACATTTTATTTTAACTCTCTAAAATCAAAATCTTTCAAGAGATGAATTTCTTCCTCTATTCACTTTGAATGATTAAAGCCCACAAAGTGCAAAGAATGGTTATGCAAGCATTCATTTAGTTATCTATTCGTCTGTCTATTCAATTGTATTTTCATTCACCTTTAACTCAGTTTAATCAGTTTTACCTCATTTTATTGTTTTGCTTTTTTTTTCTTTTTTTTTTTCTCAACTCTTTTTAGTTCGCAGCCGGTGATTGCCCAGAAAATTTTTACTGGGATGGAAAAAAATGCAGTGCATGCTCAGGCTGTCCACGTGGGTCTGGTTTGAAAGAAGCATGCACGAAAACTCAGAACACGGAATGTCAGCCTTGCATTCGTGGCTATGATTACTCGAACAGCACAGGGATGGAGGAGTGTATAAAGTAGGTTATATTAGTGTTATGTCATGTTTCGCTTTAGAATATTGAATGTAACGTTGCACTCTAAATCTTGCCTATTAACGCCTAATCAATTTCTACCTTCTTTCTCTCATGTGTTGTTATCATGTTTTCTGATTTCGATCTCTACGCTCGTTAAATGAAAATTATCATGCTATAGAAGATGCGCAATATTACCCGACGGGTGCGTCACATTGTTTACAGTTTCTTTTGTAAAAGCGATACAACGGCAAGAGGATGCAAAGATGGATCTTCGACAAGCCCTCTGCGTACTTTTTTTCGATCAGACCATTTTTACACACAAGGCATTTAGTAATATTTATTCAAAGCTAATTCAGTTTTTCGCAATATCAAAGCTTTCTTAGCTACAAACCCTATTTCTGTCCTCTCATTGAAGGTGTGATACGTTCTCCAATTGTCTACCTGGACGATCAAAAAAGATACAAGAATGTACGCTCTTTTCTGGACCCATCTGTGACGGATGCGAAAGAGACTACTACCATAACCCAGTCGTCGGCTGTGATAAGTGTTCACCCAGATGTGATGGTATAACTGAGGACGAAATAAAGGCATGCACAACTATGCATGACCGCGTTTGTGCACCAAAACGAGTGCGGCCCAAAACTTCTTTCTTCAGTAAGTTAGTTTACTTAAATTTGCTTTGATACTCAGTGAAACAACTTTAAATGAGGAATTAGATATGCTTCTCGTATACAAGAGGCTCCTTCCTAAAAATTGCTGTGCCGAGTTCAGTTCATTGCAATTCTTGGTATCAACTGAATCGGTTCTTTGTTTGGATCTAAGCTTTAATCTTTTGTTTGTTTGTCAGCTCAATTTTTCGCTTTGTTTTTGTTTTTGTTTTTTAGGAAATGTGTCAAAAGATGGAAGTCAACCTAATAGCCCTACCAAAGAGGAGGGTGGCGAGATACCACTAGTTGGTCCTGAGCCGGTAGCATCTAAAACAACTCAGCCACGAGAGGGAAATCTGATCGTAGCAAATCCGTGGTTTTGGGTGCCCATCGCGATTGTACTATTAGTGGCCACAGTCTCGATAGGGTTTTATAAAAGAAGAGCTCGAGTAAACCGTCGAACTCGACAAGAGGGCGATGTCAATACACATAACACAGTGGTAAACATCGCTTTACAGGATCAAACGATTCCGTTGATGCCTGAAAGTGGTGTGGAAACTTCCTCTTTAGATGAGCAAAGAGTTCCTTCAAGGCCCACTGATGAGTTAGGTGAGCTTTGGTTCAGTGCTCTCCCTTCCAAGTACTGTATAATATTTTGATATATTTGTATTACAGTATGGTACTACTAAAAGATGTCTCCGCTACTGATTTCAAACTCATTGAACGTATTAAGAATAATGATGAAAATGAATATAGAATGTCAAAACGTTAGAATTATTTGCTTCCAACCCATATTCTAGGAGACTGGAAGACTACAAAAATGATAGGTAAAAAGTAAAATTTCCGCGACCCTTTTGAAAGTTTTGTTGAAGCAGGTGTAAAATTGCTGTTGAAATAGAGGAGCAGGACCTCCAATCTGTTTTGTTGTTGAATTTTCAGAGACAAATCCAGGAGAGGTGGATTTGGATGCTCCAAAACCTTCTTCAGAGGAACTCAACAGACAAACAGGTTTGCTTAAACAGATCAAAACGTACCTTTGTGATTGGCGGAGTATCATATGTTGTCACTATGCGTACGAAAATACAGGGTTTTCTTTCATGTATGGTGTTGCTAGAATTTGCAATGGAGCAGGGAAAAGTTTCCAATCATCAGATCTTAAGTTACAACTTTTGTGGGCACCCGAAGGATAGGTTTAAAACATTCAATATGTATTCGCCACAACCTCCCCTAACCTATCCTAGAACAAAAATCTCTTACCGCTTCTGATTTAATGTCATTATCGCCATTGTTGTTACATAACCACCGTTATTAACTCTAGGGTTGGATCGTCCAATTAAAGGTTTAAGAATTACAGAAAAAAGGCAGATAATGACTGACCTGGGCGGCAGAGATACAGGAGGTAAGCAAAGGTTGTTTACCTGTAGCAATAAAACTTTTTTTCTCTGATAATTTTTGGGTTTACTTTAAAGAAATCACCAATTCTTGAACAAGTCACCTTAAATGCAGTGTACAGCAGTTTGTGTATTGTTCTCTCTCGACGCTGCTTCCCTGTGGCTAGTAAGATATTACTTTCAAACAGTTTTTCATGTTGTTCTTAATTTAGGTTATTTTTACTGGCAAATGGTTGCAGAAGAACTTGGTTTCCAAGACGAATCCAGGGGATGGGAAGGTGCACCAAATCCAATGGAAAACCTTCTTAAGGAATATGGCGAAAAAGAAGGAAGTACAATCAGAGGATTGATAGAAGCCATCAGAGGAGTTGGGCTGACGCATTGTGCGAGTCAGTTGACACAAAAATTTGACACGACTTCAAGAAATAATTCTGTCAGTACAACACCAGTTCAAAACGTAACAATTGATAATACTGATTCTGTTGGTATACCTCCAGATCCCGGTGAAGAGAATGGTGTAACTGACCTAGTTCATCTACTAACACCAGGTAGAGGTGAAATAAATGATAGGGCTGATTCTGTCATTACTGAACCCGACGACACTGGAGAAGGAACTCATACAAGTAATATTACTGATACAGCTGTATAAAAAAGCACCCCTGTATCAATAAGGATTTTTTTAGAGAATGCACAAACATCGTCTTGTTCTCTAAAAATTCTTTTATCAGCCACTGAATTCCACTTTGCCAGGTGTCTGTTCCGTATGTAAAGTAGGTCGCGCTTTAATTCAAAATGCTGTATTAACAAATACTGAGAATGATTCATGTATCACGAATCAACCAAAACTACAACAAAAGTACCTGGAGAATCATTAAGGTATCTCTTTTATAATAGCATGTTGAGTTGAATATTACTTGCCCCATGATTGGTTGTCACAGACCGCGACCGTACAGACACGTGGCTGAAGTGACATTGTGAACTTTGTTTTGTCCGAACTGGAGTTCTCCTTTTATTTTTTTTCCTTGATCATTTTGAAATTTCCTCCTATTGAGCGAGGAAAGGCTTTTAAAAGAGTTACACAAAATAAGTTTACGTCCTTGACTTTAGATAGTGTCTAACCGCAGCATGGCTTTATCGCCCT